TATTAGTAGCTAATAAATATGTAGAAATTATTGAGTCCAGTCATTAAAAAATCATAATAAGGAATTAATGGTTAATGGTTACAAAATATATGTGCTAGACATCAAAAGTCCTATAGCACAATAGAAAGGAGTACTGGAGAAAAGGGTAGAGAGGGGGTTAGTTGATGATCATATGCGTTACACGTCAAAAGTTGCATAACAATTAAGGAAGGAAGGGAAAGGGCAATGCGATCAAAGTTGACACAGGAAGATGTGTGGGATTTTGCCAATATGCCCGTAGGGTAAGGTAGGAATTAGCAAAAGAGAAAGGTGTGTAAGGACAATTAGATCACAGATTCATTGGAAACGTCAGGAGAGAGAGAATCTGAGGAAGGAGGTACTGTGCTGTGACAAAGGGTCACATCCAGGGGGTTAGAAGGTTAATAGGTTAGAAGGGGGAACGGGATGTGTTGGGAGGGAGTGGGGAAGGGGTGTTGGGGGAACACGAGTAAGAGGAGGATGGATGTCGGCAGTTACTTTGAGTGTAGAAGGAATTGGAGTAGAGAGATTGGAGGATGATTGAGGTAGAGGCATGTTATATTGCGTCATGATTAGATAGTTTTGAATACCGTCGAGTTTCTGCAGTGGAGTTGGTTTGGGAGGTCTGAGAAGCAAAGTGGAGGAGACTGGAGTCTCTGGATTTAGAATGGCAAAAGAATATGACTGGGAGAGGGAGGGGGTAGAAGTGGGATAAAGAAAAGATGCTGAAGGAGATGTAGAAACACCTTGGGAGGAGAGGGGAAGGGTAGAGCACTTAGTGAAGTAGGGAGTGAGAGAAAAACCTAGTCGACGTGCTTCCTGCCTGGCTTTGTGAAGAGTGAGGCCAAGACTGAATCTGAGAGCCACTTCAGATTCCAACTTGTAGGTTGGGCAGGTCCTATAAAATACATCATGGGAGGCACCTCCCTGATCGGACAGGGAGGGATTCTCCGCCAATGTAAACATACAAGGGGAGGCCATGTCTACGGAAAGTAATCTTGGCAGTATTGGTGGGGGACTTACGATGGCCTCTAGGGGGAATGGTGTAACATTGTACTGATACTGCATCATTGTCCATGGGGCAGGCGAGAGAGTCTTCTCCACAATCTGACCATTTTTTGTCGTAGACTGGGCAGTTTGTTGGAGAGACGGAGATATTTCCGGTACAAGTATTGAGGGTAGGAAGAGGTTGGACAGGAATACCAGGGTTGATAATGCCTTAGTTTGGGTTTGGGATGTAACTGTGACAAGACGGGAACGATGCGGCTGCGGAAGGAAACTTTGCCTATTTGTTTTTGCTGGAAGACGAGAGTGTTGTTAGAGTAAGGAGTTGGGGGGGGGGGGGGGACACGAAAATAGAGTATTGTAAAGGTGGTAGTAGTAGGACAGGGGCTTGTGGATGGGATTGGGGAGGGGGGGAGGTTGAATTAGTACATTTGATCCAACTATAGATATATGATTTCAGTTTCAAAATATTTCCATTATTTGAGAAGGCTAATTAGCTAATACTGTATTAGTGATAACAGCTGATATTTTATTTGACATATCAACTGATACTGTACTTCAAAACTTCTCATACTGCATTTGCCATAACTTATACTATACATGCTATAGCAGCTGGTATATATTCATCATAACAGCTGATCTAGCACTTTCCATAATGACTGACGCTGTACCTACTGTGACAGATCTTACTGATTTTGCTATAACGAACGATGTCGTACTTGATATAGCATGTTATTGAATTTGTCATTACGACTGAAAAAACAACTGATACTATTGCTATTGCTGTATTTGCCATAACAGCTGATAGCGCACTTGCTATAACAGCTGATGCGTTGCTTGGCTTATCAAAGAAAAAAAAACAAAACAAATGAAATGCGAAAAATAAGGGAATTAAAACCACAAATCCTATTTTTGCAAATATATTAAAACAAAATAATGACTGAAGCATCAGTTTAAAGTCGACTCTGTTAAACTACATCATCAATTCTCTCGGTAAGCCACCCACAATTTAATCATAGTTCTGAATAATACTCATGGGTACAAAGGTGAAGATGATGACAACAATATGGTGGAGACATAAAAAAATTCAAGATCAACAGTATCACCTTCATAATAATAACAATGAAAATAACAATAAATTGAATAATAAACAAAATAATAATAATAATAATAATAATAATAATAATAATAATAATGATGATGACTGATGATTATGATGATTAATGATGATTGATGATGATTACAATGTTGAAAATGAAATGATAATGAAACCTGAAATAACAACAATAACAAAGGTGATGAAGATGATCATAAAAAATAACACAAAAAAAGATAATATTAATGATAATAAGAATGATGATGATGATAATCAAAAATAAAATAATACTAAAAACAACATAATAACAATAATAATGATAATAATAATAACAATAATAATAAAAGAAAAACAATAATTACAATAATATCATCATTATCA